ACCACACCAGTTAGCAATTTGAAGGTTGTTGGCAAGGATATAATTGGCTTGTAGTTGCTTGGTACTGCCCCTTTTGCTGGATCTTTCATTATCAGGTAGGTTGTGCCAGATGTTAACCAATCTTCAATTTCACCTCCTTGCAATATGTTGTTAAATTGCTTGGCAATGAGTAGGGGCAGAGCAGTCAGAAGTTTCAACCAAACATCATGCAGTTCATCTTCACCTGGTGCTTGTAAGGTTTACCCCGTTCGTCTAGAGAAACTCTCGTGACACGTGTGTTCCACAAAGAAGTTTACTCAAGCGTAATGTACGTAATTGCAGACAAAGCCAGGACTGGCTTGGCACATCTTGTGATACAATTTATAGTTCTCCCCTTCCCGCGCTTTGCCCCGTTCCTATGTTACAAATCTCTTGGTGTAATCCCCTCTTCTACCGAAATGGCAGATTCAGTTCAGTTCTTTTGGTCCCTTGATTGCTCTGCCCCGCTGGCATGGTCGTGGTTCCTCTTGGTTCTTTCAGGTGTGCGCAAAGGCGGGGTTTTCCAATCATGCGCTGATCGCTTTTCCACGAGCCGCTGCTCAACCCTTTGTCTTCAGCACTCGCGGCTAATCAGCGTTGATACAAAATATCCGCTCTGCAGTTTTTTGTTAAATGGTCTCAGGTGGCTCATTAATCAGCCGCGGGTTTCACTTCCCCTTTTTCTCGGCTTGTATGTGGGCGGTAGAACTGACTCAGCACGGCTGGGCAAAAACTAGCCGTGCCACGCCAGCTGAATCTGACAGTGCTGACCAATTCTTGATCTTCCTTGCCCTTTTCTCCACCATTTCTGCTGTTATTACAACTTCTTTCATTTCAGCTTCTTTTGGGAGGGAGGCTAATATCTGTTATGAGAACAGAGCAGCAAATGCATGACTGTACATCTTTGGCAATGTAATTCTGAGTTGCCACTGTGGGATAGTACAGCTTTGCTACTGCTAGTCACTGAGTTTTCTGGAGTGTCCTCATTACTGGCAGGAATTTGTTGTGGGGAAGTTGTGGTTTGTTGGCAATCACATGGCATGAATAGTTATAAGTTATAAGAAGCAACAGAAGACAGGTGATCCAGTGAGGAATAACCCCACAGAGAACAGTAATCCACAGAGAAAGAAGCTGGGATGTATGCCCTCCCTGCTGGCTTAGAACAGAAAAAGGTTGGGCTGTGTTACTCTGGCACTCATCCATTGTCAGGAGATTTAAACGTGTGCCAATCATGCCCCAATCATTTTAAAACAGCCTTGAGCCCCCATCCAGAGTGTGGAGAGCTCCCACCTTTGTAGCAGAAAGTGAAAAGATCTACTATTACAAGACCGAGGATAGTCAAGACTTTGGGGCTGGCCGCATTAAAGAAACTGAGATATGAGAAAGTGAACAAAATCCAAAGTAATGTCAGCCTTGCCCGAGCTCTTATAGGCAAATAATTTAATGAGGGGATAAATCTCATTGGTTGGCTGCTCAGGTCAATATCACACTGCTCAACTCAACCCCCAGCGTCCTCCACTAGGAAGCTGAAGTTGCAATAGTGTATTATATATTGTTTGTGAGAAAACCCAAACCAGCAAAATGCTTTGAATCACCAGAACACCCCCTTTTATTTCCTTTGATAAGGCTACAAGATCTGGACTACAAACAATTCAGATGACTACTAGACATGAGCAAAGAAATACAAAAAAAAAAAAAAACCCTTTCTTTGTTGCCATCTAGAGTTCTTAAATTTTCAGCCCCAAACTTGTAAGTCTGTACAACACACTTGCAAATGTGAAGCCTTTGAAGAGCAGCCGGGGGGGGGGGGGGGGGGGGGGGGGGGGGGGGGGGGGGGGGGGGGGGGGGGGGGGGGGGGGGGGGGGGGGGGGGGGGGGGGGGGGGAGAGAGGGAGAGGGAATGCATATGTAGGTTTATAGGGAAATGAAGGATTGCAGCTGAACAAAGTGGAGGTCATACCACACAATATGAAAGGAGAATTGACAAAATCCATTGCAAGTTGTTTTAAGACAGTTTCCTACACAAATCGTCTTTAAACATTGCCAAAGATGTACGGTCATGCATTTGCTGCTCTGTTCTCAATAGAGAACAGATATTAGCCTGCCTGCCTGCCTGCCTGCCTGCCTGCCTGCCTGCCTGCCTGCCTGCCTGCCTGCCTGCCTGCCTGCCTGCCTGCCTCTCTTTTGGATCCATTTGACTGCTCTTCCTTCTCTTGTATTTTTAAAAGCAATGTTAATGTTTACAAGTGATTTGTTATTTCATGCTTTCCATAAGCAGAAGGAGCCGACTTATCCTAAATAAGGTCATTGGCTTATCAAGCCCACTCTGTGTGTGTGCGTATGTGTGTACAATGCCAGCAGCTCTTTGAAAGCAGAGGCAGCGCTCTGTTGGGTCAGGTCCTGTTGTTTTCTGGATATGCTAGAATTTCAACCTTTTAAAGCAAACTCCTGGCACTTGTTTTACTACTGACATGTGGGTCTTTCGCTTTTGTAAAGCACTCTATGAACCAGATGTTTGGCTGTCAGGAAGTATAAACAAACGTTACCTAATTTATGGAGAAACAGTATAGATCTTATTCCGTGTGAAATGTGCTCAATTATTCTTCATTTTATTTCCAGTACTTGACAGTATCTCATTTTACAATGCTTTCCTATCCCTCCTCCTTTTGTCATTCTACCAGGTCATTTTTTCTATTCTTTCCCATATTTTTGCAGGCTGCTTTGCTAATTTATCTCATCTTTTCTCCTCAATTAAGACGTGATACATTATTTGACCAATTCCCTCTGTACAGGATTTGAAAAAGGGTTATGAAAGCTGTGTGGGGTTTGAGCTGGGAAAACTATTTACTACAAACAGGTCATTGTGATGTGGCATTATCATGAACCCATGGTATAATTTCAGCTTTGGCTTCTGGCTTTGGCAATACTAATATGTTTCTGAATTCTTCTTTCTATGGGCTACCTCCAACATTATGCAAGTGGATTTCTGCTATTGCAATTGACTTTCCTTGCACTCATCTTTCCTCCAAGACTGCCCACACACACTTTCCACATCTGCTCTAGGGATGTCCTCAACACAGTAGAGTGGATCATAGGATGTGTGGAAGAAGGAAGGGGCGGAAGAATCCATTCCTATATTAGATGCCATTCTGTCTGTATCAGCACTACTGAATACAATCCTATATCTGCACAAATATAGGCATTTCTCTTTTTTTTAATGTGTATATTTCATTCTTCCTTTCCATTTGACTACTGCAGTGACAGTTAGCTTTTCCTCCTATTCTCAGGCATTTTCTGCTAGCAATTCTATATTTCTTGGAATAATATTTACCTATATCAAGGCTAGTGATATGTTTGTTTTATTGTCCTATTTATGGAATCAACTAATATACACTTGTTTTGGCCTGCTAGATTTCTGGCACCACTTACCAAGAGGCAGTTTCTTACATAGTGCATGTATAAAGAGGAGACACCCAACTGGGCAATACTACATGTAAAAAGGAACTAGTGAAACATGAGCCAGCTTTTTAATTGCATTTAAAAAGTAATGCAATTTTAAGGCCTTTCCCCACTGATGAGTTAAATTACCATTTGCCCATCCTTGAAATCAGCAGAAAATCATACCAGCATGAAATCTGCTGTCCTTCCTCTTTTGCCTGTTTCAAGTCACTGTTACCTGTTGCCCTTGACTCAAGGGACCAAAATGACAAAAACTAACAGATTTCATACATCTTAAATTTGGCAATGGATGGCTTCAAGATAGGGTAGTAAGTGCTGCTTTAGCACTGGTACAGCTAATGGACAATTTAAGACTGATTATGCTGGGTGTCAGATGAAGGCACCATCCTGGTGACCTGGGAGAAAAAAAAAGATGTTGTTGGGGCATGTTTGTGCCCTCATTATTTGCAAGTAGTTGAGGTACTTTTTGTTGACTAATTGGGGTAGAAGAGCAGCCAAGATACCAAGAAGGCCAGAAATCTAGTCCTATGAGAAATAGTTGAAAGACTAAGGATTCAACCAAGGAAGAAAAGATTATGGGAAAACAACATAATTATCCTCAAATATCTGAAAGGCTGTCCAGCAGAAAATGGAAGTTGGAATCATAGGGAAGTAGATTTTTATGAGAAACTTTCTAACATTGAGTGGGGTCTTTTGCAGTAGAGATTTTTAAACAGAAGCCAGACAATCATGCATCAGCAGTATCTTGCCCTGGACAGAGAACAGTTTTAGATCTCCAGAGTCCATGGGAACTATCTTATTCTGCAAAATCAATGGGACTTATGTTTGTCCTAGTTAATTGATGCATTCTGTGTTTGCATAAAATAATTTTCCAAGCGAAAAGATGACATATTACAGAGCTGATTTTGCTATTGGATCCTGGCTGAGTGTTTGGCTGTAGCATCAAAACAATAGGCTTCATAGATTCATCTTAAATTCTAAACAATGGCTTGTTGTTTGTCCACAGCCAAGGGTGAGGTCAGCAGTAAAATTAAGCACTTATTTCAAGGAGGGTGCTTTTTCTAGTAGAGCCCTTCCACAATACTAAGTTGAGAAAAGTTGGTCTAAATAACATTACTACAATATTAGAGGTGGCAACTATGTCTTTTTTCTTGTTTTTTTTACTGAAAAATTAGCACATAAACCCAGAACAGGTCAGAACTCTAGCAGGGGAGTGTGTGTTTTTAACCTTTTGCTCCTGCTCTAGTTATTCATAGAGCCCCTCACTTGCAATTTATACTACAAAAAACAAACAAACAGAAATAAATGAAATAAATTGATAATTTGGGGACAGCATAAATGTCAGGGACAAATGTTTAAAAGGTTTTTATCTCCATGATATAATCCCAACCCATAACAGGATCTAGTTCCTCAATATTCTGGATAAGGTGTTTGATGTTAGTAGTAATATATGTAGTAATGTCATAAATGTATTACTTACATGCCATTTCTTTCTTCTGGCCTTTTTTGCAGAATATGTCAGAATGTCACAATGATCCCGTCTAGCAACAGCACAATCACTTCGTCGGTTCCAAATGTGAGCACCTTCTGGATTCGAGACTCCCAAAGAAAAGGACTTCCCAATGAAGCTCCATTGTTCACTAGCACCTATGGCCCTTCCCATACAAATGAGAGCTTTTTCTTCACTACTGTGGTCATGACCAATGTGTCGAATGTTCCTCCTGATCCTCTGGGAGGACATGCTGTCTGGCAAGTTGTCCTGATTGCTTTCCTCACTGGCATTCTGGCCCTTGTCACCATCATTGGAAACATCCTGGTGATTGTAGCATTTAAAGTCAACAAACAGCTGAAAACGGTTAACAATTACTTTTTGTTAAGCCTTGCTTGTGCAGACCTGATAATTGGTATTATTTCCATGAACCTTTTCACCACATATCTAATCATGGGCCGCTGGGCTTTGGGAAACCTGGCCTGTGACCTATGGCTCTCCATTGACTACGTGGCAAGCAATGCTTCTGTCATGAATCTGCTGGTTATCAGTTTTGACAGATACTTTTCCATCACAAGGCCACTGACCTATAGAGCTAAACGAACAACCAGAAGGGCTGCGGTGATGATTGGCTTAGCTTGGGTTATCTCATTCATCCTTTGGGCTCCTGCTATTCTCTTCTGGCAATATTTTGTTGGGGAGCGGACTGTTGAAGAGGGAGAATGTTATATCCAGTTCCTAAATAACCCTGTCCTCACTTTTGGCACTGCCATAGCTGCCTTTTATTTGCCAGTTACCATTATGAGTATTTTGTACTGGAGGATATACAAGGAGACGGAGAAACGTACCAAAGAGTTAGCAGGACTCCAGGCTTCTGGCAGTGAGGCTGAGGCAGCGTGCTTTGTCAACCAGACAGGAAGCTCCAGAAGCTGCAGCAGTTATGAACTGCAGCAGCAGAACACAAAACGTACCAGCCGAAGAAAATATGGAGGCTGCAACTTCTGGATGACATCCAAGAGCTGGAAACCCAATTCGGATCAAGTTGATCAGGAGCATAGCAGCAGCGACAGCTGGAACAACAATGATGGCAATGCATCCCTTGAGAACTCTGCCTCTTCTGATGAAGATGACATTGCCTCAGACACTCGGGCCATCTACTCCATCGTACTAAAGCTTCCAGGACATAGTACAATTCTCAACTCTACAAAACTGCCTTCATCAGAAGATCTGCCAGGGTCAGAGGATGAACTGCAGAAGCTCGACACAGAGCTGAAGGAGCAGAAACCAAAAAGGCTTCATCCGCAAAAGAGCATGGATGATGGGAATTTACAGAAATGCTTTCCCAAGCTTCCAGTTCAACCAGGATCTGCGGTATACGCAGGAAAGGCTTCTGACTGCATTTCAGCAGGGACAAAGGCATCGTCTGCCTTACCTTTATCATTCAAGGAAGCCACCCTGGCCAAGAAGTTTGCCTTGAAGACAAGAAGTCAGATCACCAAACGAAAGCGAATGTCACTAATCAAAGAAAAGAAAGCTGCACAGACACTTAGTGCCATTTTGTTTGCCTTCATTATCACCTGGACCCCATACAATATCATGGTCCTGGTAAACACCTTTTGTAAATGTATCCCCAAGACCTTTTGGAACCTGGGGTACTGGCTTTGCTACATCAATAGTACAGTGAACCCTATGTGCTATGCACTGTGTAATAAAACATTCAGAACCACATTCAAGATGTTACTGCTCTGTCAGTGTGACAAACGTAAACGACGTAAGCAACAATATCAGCAGAGACCGTCAGTCATTTTTCATAAGCGGATTCCCCGGGAAGCTTCGTAGAATAGTATTTTTTAATCACAGTAATAAACATTAAAGGGAGGGTGGTTGCTGGAGCCAACTACATATCTTCAAGATGTGAAAGTAGCAGCCTGGTGTATGTATCCTTTTAATACTTCCTGTATACTGTAACAGTTTAAGCCACATTAAGCAAAAACTAATTACAAATGTATTTATTAAGGAGCAATCAGATATCTGAAGATTTATCTACACAGTTCCAAAAAGCTGCAGACAAAACTGTTAGTGATCTATTCAGCCCTGCACTTGTTAATCCATTCTGGGATCTCAGGAGAGCACCCATAGCTAGCCCTCTCCCAACAGTTTTTCTAATAAATCTGGTAGGATCCACTATGTCACAAATTGGACAGATCTATTTCAAAATGTGGGTACATGTGTGTTCCAAATACTATACAGATGTCCCAAACATCTTAGAGCTTCCCATCTTCTCCTTTTGTAGGTATAATGTCTATTTGTGGACCCAGTTTATTAAATAACCTGTGCAGGAACATCCCACGTACTCAGCTCTTGCCATATGTTTACAGGAAAGGTGAGGTCTTGTCTTTCTCAGCAGTAATTACCATCACTATAAGATGTGAGCAGCACAAGGGGCCTTGAAAACAGTTTTTCAGCACTTGTTTATAGTTTATTGATTTGGGCAATCTTAAATGGCAACTCCACAAAAGAGATTTTATGTACAACCGTGAAGAATTTCTAAAGGATGCATGTTATATCTGTACATTTAAGCAGAAGAACTGAGTATGTATGTTTTTCAAGTAGAGATAGCCTTCAAACCTTAAGATATCCTTTAAACTGGAGATGTGTGGCCACATGCAGAAGGCTGAGTATTTAATTTAACACAGGGCATGAGAAACTGGGTACAGGCTTTACTTCAGCTTTAAATGCAAGGGTCACAGAGGGACTTGGATTTCCATGCAGTACTTAGCACCCAGTGTAGCCCTGGGAATCTCTTAAGTTGTAGAAAAGCTGGAACACAGTCCCTGTGCCAATCAGAGAGTCTCATCCTTTCTACAAATTGGAGGGCGGGGGAGGGGGGGGGGAGAGAGAGAGAGAGAAATCCAGAAAGAGGCTTAAGAACAGTGTCAGCAAAAAGTCAGGTCCATGTTTATCCTGTGCATTTGTTCAAGTGTATGACAAGGACAAAGAGTCTATGGAATAAGCACATTACTTCTTCCCAGCTGTCTGCGTCAGGCGTGCTCCCAAGGAGAATGCACCAGGAGAGTGTCTTGTCTCTATTTTCTGCACATTGAAAGGCATTTTAGACATGGGGTAGATAACTGTATTTTTCTAAAATAACAAACTGGCACTTTCAATAATGCTTGTCCATTTTTAAAGCTTCTGTTCTTATTATTGCTGTTTTTGTTCCAAACAGTAGTGGAAATTTCCAGTTTGTGCAGTACAATGTCCCAAGTGAATGTAAGTTGTTTGCTAATTCAAATAGCTAAGCACCTTCTCAGAAAGACAAAAAAAGGGCTTTAATGTAGCTGAGACATGAGCGGCGATCCCTCTTACTTATCAATTCAGTCGGCACCGCAGAGCTTGGACGCAACCCCCCGCTCTGGTGCAACTCCCGTTCATTCAGGGCTGTGTGCACAGGAGACATTCAAAGGGGTCTGTGCCTCGGCTGTACTTTGTAAAAGTCGGGATATCCCCAAGGAAAGGCCTGTACTTTAAGCAGTTGTTTCCGATCAGATTTATTTACATTTTAAAAAGCAATTTGTCTATTATGTTTTCAATCGACCAAGAGTTTTATGGGGTTTCTCCCCACCTTTTTTCGTTTTTGATCTGACACTCAGATCTGACTTTTTTTTTTTAAAAAAAAAGCAACTTCCTTTATGAAAAGAGGAATCAGTGTTGTGAACACGGAACTGGTATAAAAGCTGCTTTTGTATTCAGTGTGAGATGGTGTTTACAGGTGATTTTGACAACAGTGGAAGTATATTAAATAGTGTCTGTGTATCTGAGCTATTTAATTTTGTGTTCTATTAATATGAAGAAATATTTATATACATAAATGCCACCAAAATGTTTTATTTAAATGTCGATAAATATCGCTCTTTGGTCTTCAACTGTAATGTCCTTTTCAAGCAGATCATAAAAGTGTTCTTGAAACATGAACACAGTTTTCAAGTTTGTGTATCACAGATTGTGGCAGATTACATTTGTGCACATTGAAAAGATTCTTGTTGGGCAACATACCTCTCAAAATCCTTTGCAACACAGACAGGCATTCTTTCTAAGATTCAAAAATGAGGGGGAAAGGGATGTTAGAAATCTGCATGTCACAGAACTGGCCATGGGATGGATGCAGCTTGCACAGACATCCAAAGGTGACGACTGAGGTGATGAATTAGAATTGTCACATTTTCCTCTGGCAGAGTTCTTGCCTCTCTAAGAGATTAAGAACAAGCACACGTTCAAAAGTTGTCGCTTTTCCCAGGATAGAGAAGCAACTCTGGGCAAGGGAAGACCTGCACCCAATTTTAGCCAATGACACTCCACAGGCACAAGACAGGCCTAGGAATGTTAAAAAGCACCACTTTGAACAATATTGTGTGGAAAGTCAAGTTCTAAAATGTAACTATTGATAAATAAATGAAATGGGAACAGCCTTGTACGAGTTTAGAAGAATGAAAAAAAAAATGCATGTATGTTTTTAACCAACATGCTACAGAAGACATGCAGGAACCCAGCACCTGTAAGGTGCTCAAAACAGCCTTTGTCTAAAAAGCCAAATATTTCATATAGTGTATTTTAAAAAGTAAGAAAAACAACTTTGGAAAGAAGAAATTCAGAGCAGAGATGTAGCTCTGCTGTTTTAAACCTTGAACCAATAGTCTTATCTCTCCCTTTCAATATGACAGCCATGTGTCTTACTTATGAATAAGCATCAGTTTGTTTCAGAGAGGAATCGTATATTGAGAGATACAATGTAATAATATTGAGCATTTGCATCTATGCACATTTCTGTTTTGTGCAGCCCAGCACATCTGGGGATCCAAATGTGCCCAGATGAAAAGTCAGTCAAAGGACAGACTCTGATCCTATTTGCTGCTGCTCTGATTGTCTCTCACATTCTGGGTGCTCATTTGAGCCCTGGACACCTGCTACAAGGGGCATGCAAGCTCTGCTAATTACAGCATGCCTGAATCAAAGAGACAGGAGTTTCTTATGCCCTCCTCCTGATTTCTGTGCTTCTGATTGGCCACCAAATCTAGCCTTTCTTGCAGGATTCTGAAACCTGAGTGAAGTTTGAGCACTGTCTAAAAGAAAAAGCAAGGGTGTTAATTCACCAAGGCTTGTGACAAGGTGTAATACTCCTAAAAAGTGAATGTAGAAAAATTAAAACTCCCACCTTCCAAGGTCTGTCATAAAGTAATCCACTGAGTATTGAAACTTTAAGATTTTAACTATTGGATAAGCCCACCACTATCAACTAAAGTGGCATGCCATGATCATTTGTCTGTGGATCCCATCAGTGGCTCCTTCTAGGCCCTTAGGGAGTTTTTATTTGCAGTTTCTGAGAAATATACCCATCTTCTTGAGAACTGAAAGGTGATTCACTGTTCTATAAATACCATATATTTCAACACTATACTACATTCTCTCTCTCTCTCTCCCTCTCTCTCTCAATCATCTATCTTTTATTATTTAGGGTAAGTGCAATTTCATCTAATAAATTTGAGAGTCAGACTGTGACAAGGACGTTGTCTTGCATTTTGTTAATTTCATGATAAAAAGATATTTTTTTAAAATAAAATTTTTGCTTTTTTGCAAAAGCAAAATGTCACCATTGTCTACACAAGAAAAGAAATTAGGAATTGCTTAGTATTTGATACAAAAACAGCTTCTTAGACGCCACTGATAATTGTAGTGCAGGCATACAATGTTCAAAGGCTTTTTGACAGGTGAATGTAATTCTGAATTTTTAAATTTTTTTTTGGGTGCACCTGGGTGCATGTGTATGTATAGCCACAGACATGGACATGGAGATACATGGGAAGACAATAGTCAATCCATGGATGGCACAGGTAGGCTTAGCTACAATGCAGCTGTTCCATCAGGGAGAACCAGGATCCATAAACAACTGCCAGGCACCAAAAGAGTGCAGGATGTGGCTTAGAAAAAAGTTGCTGTACCTTGGAATAACTTCTGAGATATGTCCTAATGCTAATAAAATTTGGAAGCATTCTTGAGAAACATTTATAGTGTCTAAAGCAGTGTTGTCCAAACTTGGCCACTTTAAGATGACTGGACTTCAACTCCCAGAATTCTGGGAGTTGAAGTCCAGTCATCTTAAAGTGGCCAAGTTTGGACAACATTGCTCTAGGCCTTTCTTGTACTCTCATCTTAAAGTGGCCAAGTTTGGACAACATTGCTCTAGGCCTTTCTTGTACTCTCATCTTAAAGTGGCCAAGTTTGGACAACATTGCTCTAGGCCTTTCTTGTACTCTGTTAATTATTGTAGTGATAGTGCTGGTGCAATATGACTTCAACAGTTAATAAGAGGTGCTTCTGGAGAAGTCTCATTGAGACAAGGATGACATCTCCCTGCAAGAGCAGCCCAAGGAACCTTAGCATGATTGATGCTGGCATTACGGATGCTGGCATTACGGATCAAAGTGCCAGGAAGCACAAACCCACAGGAATATACAACCCATGATCATCTATAGATATAGAGGACACACACAGATTTTATGAATTTATCTTTAACTGAGTAGATTAAAGCAGCATTGTAAAGGCCATTTATGAAAGATCAGGGCTTTTTTTTCTTCATTATTCTTTGGTTACACAGGGATGCTTCGCTTCTCCCAAAAACCTACCAAAGGTATTTTGCTGCAGTGGCCATCAAGCCAGAGAACATCTTCAATCTTCAACTGAACATATCCATTTGTTGAGGTTGAGAGCATAGTCTCTTGAAGGGCTGCTGGACTGGAAAAACAGCACGACTCTTCTTATGACTTTCTAACAAAATGCACTTAGGCTTAGGGAGTTCCTTGTTAGGAAGCAGGCATCACATTACTACTTTCCTGCCAACATTAATCCATTTATGTCCTTTTCATGCAGCATGAACACCTGCAGCAGAAAAGATTTCATGTCCCAGTTTTGGCTTCTGTATAAGCCAAGATCCTGTATTATCATGCTCTCTGCATGAACTTTTATAGGAATGAGGCATTAGTGGAGCAACATCTGCGGAGACTTATGCAGAACCCTCATGGGTCGAGCATTCTGAATTTCTGATGAATGAAGGGGGCCTCTGTGTGTCACAGTTCTGATTCTTTGATCCAAAAGGTGACATTAGATATTATTTCTATGTGATTCCTTTAGAAAGAAGCACAGGTTGAAAATCTGTAACAACAGCTATTATGGCAGGACAGCAAAACACTCCTGCCATGTGTTTGACAGTGTCTTTCTCTCTCTTTTCCTTCACAATTCATACAATGCACTGAAGAAGAGTGAGGCAGTATATACTAACCTCACTCCCACTGTCTCTTCCTCCTCCTCCTCCCCTTGAAACCACATACATGTAGGATTCTTTACAGATTCAGCTGACTGCACTTCAGGAAAGCTGTATGTGTTTGAGAACCTCAGATGGCCAGATTCCAAATCATGTAAAAGCATCTAAGTGCATTCAGCAAGACATGTAGTGAATCTTTTTTTTTCAGAACATTGATTTTAGACATGCAAAATTTGCAGAACACCAAGTTGATAAAGTAACTGCATTGGCTCCCTGACTGCTGCAAGCCAAGTTCAAAATTATAGCATGAATATGAAGTAAAGGTGAAGACTCCCTTAAGCTAGGTTCAATTCTGGTGATAACATGGGCAGTTCAGATAGTTTGCTTGGTAACATGAAAGTGGTTTGCCATCTTGTTTTTCCAAAATGCCTTTTTTCAACTCTCCAGGCCTGGAGTTCCTTGGTGGATTCTCTTAAGTACTCATTGTGCCCAAACCTACTTAATTTTGAACCCAAACAAGGTTGCCCAGGT